CAAAATCAAAAGCTGCCATTTAGATCATTAAATACTAATGCATCCACATAATTGATCATCCTCTTCCTTTTCTCATTAGAAGCCACATCATAATTCAGTAATCCTACCACATTTTCACCTCTCAAAATATCAATATCCTCACATAAATCACCTCTTTCTCCAGAAGCTTAGCAAAAAACTTTTCAGCTTGAACAGCAGAGATGTCCCCACGATAATCCCGGCTGATCAAGCATCGACCCTTGATGTCCAAGACGAAAAGCGCCGATGTGGCGCCCACCATTGCTGATGAACCAACAACCTCCTGCAACAAAAACAATAAAAATTCAATCTTTCTTCAAATTCGCTTAAATCTGTGAAAAGGGCTCGTTAAAATTTGGTTTTTCAAGAAAAAGGGAATTGAGTTGCAGTACCACAAAATGAGTAGTAGATCAATCAGCTCTCAGCTGAATAATGAGTGGCCTGGCGGTAATTGAAGATGGGATCTTTTGATATCTGACAAAGTTGTTTTGCTTGTGTTTTTGTTGAATGTCTTGGGTTGGTGTTCTTTCTTTCTTCTTCTGGTACTTCTTTGGAGAGAAACTGGAGCAAGTTACTTGACTTAAAAAAACTTGCAATTTTTTGAAAAAATAATCCTTAAAAAAATAAAAAATGAATCTATTTAATTTATTTGTTTAGTTATTTATTTTGGTGTTGACTATCTATTTTAATTTAGCCATAGTTATCTTGAAAAAAAATATTACTGACAAATTTGTCCTTTGTATCTGAAGCTATTGTTAGAGGTTTGAAATTTGGAAGTTAGTTCTCCTTTTTGGAAAAAATTTACTGTCTAGTGACTAATTTACCACTCTATCTGAAGTTTAGATGTTTGAAGTTTGGAATTTTTTGTTTAACTTTTTTTATAGGAGAAAATAGGATTTAAGAAATGAGGAAATAATACCGAAATGAGAAGAGAACAAGGAGTTAGAATCCTCTCAATCTTTAATTTATGGGATTTCAACCCTATTTAAAGTTCAAAATTTATTTTTACTTAAAAAAATAATTTCAACTCTATATTATTTTGAAAATCGTAGCAATGTGTGAAATAGTGGGTCAACTTCAAAGGTATGTTTTTTAAGTGTTTGTATAAAATTTTATTGTAATTTATTATAGAATCAGTAGAAAAACTTTTGTATATTTAGGATTTAAAAAAAATAAAAAATTTTATTTTTTATTACTTTTCATTTCCTTTTCCTTTTTCCTTTTCTTTTTTTTTTCCCTTTCTCTCCTCCCTTCCTCTTCTTCCTCTACATCCCTGTATCAAATCAGCTCTTTCTTCTTCCTCCTGACTAGCTGGCTATTGCCTCTCGCCGCTACTGTCTGCAGCCACCCCTTTTTTTTCTTTTTCTCTCTCCCCCTCCCTCTTTCTCTTTTCTTCCTTCCTCCTCTCTCCCTTCTCCTTTTCTTTCCTCCTTTTCTTGCCACTGCCTTCTTTCTCCCTTCACCAACCTCCCATGTCTCCCCCCACTAGTCGAGAGGGGGGGTGATGAATTGGGGGAAAAGAGAGGAAAAGAAGATAAAAAGTGGGGATAAAAAGAAAGAAAAGTTAGCTGGCACGATCGATGCCAGAGCCGACAACGGTGGGGTCGGTGATGGCAGTGGCCAGTGAGTTGAGATGGGAGGATAGTAGTAGAAGAGGAAGATGGCGTGTGTTTTTTTTAATATTTTTGGGTATTTTTGGATGTTAATGTTGATAAAGTTGTTAAAAAATTTGTCGAATGCAAACCCCAAAAAAGCACACTTCCAAGCAAACCCAATAGTATATAAATATATTGAGTTGCTTATGAATTATTACTAATTACTAAATTTATTCCACACTGAATATGTGGATACTAAAACAATAGAATTGATTATTTATGTTCGTTGGATAGAATATCTATTTTGGTCAGATTGAAACTACAATGCACGGTTGGAATTGTGAATTAACCATACATTTATTTATTTATTTGGGATAAAATATAAGTCATAAATTGTGAGTTTAGTTAAAATTGAGGAATAAGAGGAAATTTTAGGGAGGAGATGAAGGAAAATTAGTTGTTTTGTTTGGGATGTGTAGGAATTTCAATTTTTTTTAAGGTTGTTCTTTTTTTTTTTTTGGTAGGGAGAATAAATAAAACCTGAAAACCATTGAGGATATGACTAGGGCTGCAAACGAATCGAGCCGCTCGCGAGCAGCTCGAGTCAAACTCAACTTAAGCTCGATCAATATGTTAGGCCTGCAAGTTAATTTCTGGAATTGTATTGGTTCAGGGAAAGAATCAGAAGGAAGAAACTAGATTGAGAAGAGAGAAAAGAGAAAGAAGAAAAAGAGAGGGAATTAACAGACAGGAGAGAGAAGGCAGCGAGATTCTTTTCATTCAAAAAAACATAATCAAAAATCTGTTACTGAAGGCTATTTATGTAATTGGCCCTCAACTAACTCTACCTATCACACCAGCACCGCCCTTGTTATTAGAACGACGTAGTATTGCTCCCAAGGTCCTAAACGCACAACCCTTTGCATTAAACGACGTCCCATTCTATTTCCTTGTTCCTGACAATCTCTCCCCTTTAAACAAAGCTTGTCCTCAAACTTGAAATTCCGGAAATTGTCTGTCAATGAAGCTTTTATTCTCCCACGAGGCCTCGGATTCTGGTAAGTTGTTCCACTTCACTAGGTACTGGATGATTGGTTTGGCAGCTCGCATTAAAACACGCCTCTGGAGAATCTTCTCTGGCTTCAGCAAACACTGGTCCGATGCATCTACTTCTGGCAAGATGGACTCCACCTGTTGTGTAACTCCCACTTTCCTTTTAAGTAAAGAAACATGGAACACGGGATGAACTCGAGCTCCCTCTGGCAACTTTAGTCTGTAGGCGACTTCCCCTACTCTCGCAAGGATCTGGAAAGGTCCAAAATATTTGGCAGCCAACTTCAAATTCCTTCGTAAGGCCACTGATTGTTGCCTATAAGGTTGCAACTTGAGAAATACCCAATCCCCCACTTGGAAGACACGTTCAGATCTGTGCTTATCAGCAAACAACTTCATGCTATTCTGGGCAGTGGCCAGGTTCTCCTTGATGAGGGACAGAATTTGGAGCCTAGTCTGCACCATGTTACCAGCAGCAGGTACAAGGCTATCATGAAAAGGTCCTAAGGGGAGGTGATTTGGTTTATACTCGTATAATGCTTCGAATGGTGTCACCTGCAAGCTAGTATGGAAGTTAGTGTTGTACCATAACTCAGCTGTAGGAAGCCAACTGCTCTAGTGAGAAGGGTGCTCACTGCACATACACTTGAGATAGTTTTCCAAACACTGATTGACCCTTTCACTTTTACTATCTGACTGAGGATGATACGATGAACTGTAGTGCAGTTTTACCCCGACCATACCAAATAGCTCTTGCCAAAACTTGCTAAGAAAGATCCTGTCCCTGTCAGTTATAATGGTCTCAGGAAGCCCATGCAGCTTGTATATGTTGTCAAGGAAAAGTTATGCTACTTGCTGTGCAGAGAAAGGGTGAGTGAGTCGAATGAAGTGGCTGAACTTGGTTAACCTATCCACCACCACCAAAATGGTATCAAATCCATGGGATGGAGGTAGTTGCTCAATAAAATCCATAGTAAGGTGTGACCAAGCCTGCTGAGGTACAGGAATTGGTTGCAGTAACCCAAGATAAGGAACATTTTCATGTTTGTTCCTCTGACACACATCACAAGATCTCACATATTTGAGGACATCCCTTCGGATTCCAGGCCAGTAAAATAAGGCTTGCACTCTATGCAGACACCCCCTTTGACTTGAGTGCCCCCCAATGGCTGAGTCATGCAATGCTCTGACCACCTTGGTCCTAATGTTATTAGCAGATCCTATATACAGCCGCCCTTTGAACTTGAGCACCCCATTCTCTAACTGATAATCTGGATCTGCATTGGAATCCAGCAATAGCTCAGATAATTTCTGCTGAGCCTCTGCATCTCCCAGGTAGCTTTCTAGCACTTCCTGCATCCAACTAGGCTGAGCTGAGGTGATGGCACAGGTCTGAAGCTCAGCCTCTCCACAGTCAACAGTGTTTCCCTCAATCCTTCTCCTGGAAAGGGCGTCTGCTACCCCATTGTCTGCACCCTTTTTATATTGTATTTCATAGTCTAAACCAAGTAACTTAGTTAGCCACTTGTGCTGGAGTGGGTGAGTAAGCCTTTGTTCTATCAAGTGTTTGAGAGCTTGGTGATCTGTCCTGATAATAAAATGATGACCCACCAGATAGTGCCTCCACTTAGTTACAGCTAGCACTTAGGCAAAAAGCTCTTTTTCATAGACTGATAACCCCAGATTCTGAACTGATAATGCCTTGCTAAGGAAGGCTATAGGATGTCCTTGCTGCATTAACACTGCTCCAATGCCTATCCCACAGGCATCAGTCTCTATGACAAAAAGAAGTTCGAAATTAGGCATGCTCAGCACTGGAGCTGTGGTCATAGCCCTTTTCAAGTCCTCAAAAGCCATTTGAGCTCCATGGTTCCATGCAAAGCCTTCCTTTTTCAACAGCATAGTCAGGGGTTTGCTGATCATTCCATAGCCTTTAATGAATCTCTTGTAGTAACCAGTTAATCCCAAAAAACCTCTCAGTTCCTTGACTGTTCTAGGAACAGGCCAGGACTTGATACACTCCACCTTAGCTGTGTCCATACTCACTCCTGCCTCTGAAATCACATGCCCCAAGTATTCAATTGAGGACTGAGCAAAAGAGCACTTCGACCTCTTGCAATACAAATGGTGTTCTTCTAAAATGCTGAGCACCATTTGCAAATGTTATCCATGTAACTCTAATGTTGGGCTGTACACTAGTATGTCGTCAAAGAAGACTAGGACAAACTTCCTGAGGTATGGTTGAAATATTCTGTTCATCAATGCTTGAAATGTAGCTGGGGCGTTTGTGAGTCCAAAAGGCATCACTAGGAATTCAAAATGGCCGTAGTGTGTCTAGAAAGCTGTCTTAGGAGTGTCAACAGCCTTTACTCTCAGCTGATGGTAACCAGCTCTGAGATCCAGCTTGGACATGTATCTGGTGCCATGTAATTCATCCAGCAGCTCATCTATATTGGGAATAGGAAATTTGTCTTTTATTGTCAGCTCGTTCAACTTCCTGTAGTCTATGCATAGTCTCCAGGAGTTATCCTTTTTCTTTACTAACAAAACAGGGGAAGCATATGGACTGGTGCTATGTATAACAATTCCATTGGTGAGCATCTCAGTAACTTGTTTTTCAATTTCTGCCTTATGTGAGTGAGGGTACCTGTAGGGCTTGAGCTTAAAAGGTTCAGCTCCTGGTTTAAGGTTGATCTGATGGTCCAATTCTCTCTCTAGGGGTAAGCCTGTTGGGGTGGAAAAGACCTGGGAATGCTGTTGCAGGATTCCTTCTATAGACTCTGGAAGGTGTTCATCTGATTCCCTGGCCTCGTCAGTATGCATGGCTGCACAGTTTCTGTGCGTTTCCTGTATAAACGTCTTGATATCCCTACCCCTCACCAATTCCATAGCAAGTTGATTCACAAATCCCTGGAGGTGCAGCAAACTACCCCTATCACTAAGGGCAACGCTGAGAGTATGGAAATCAAACATAATGGGGCTGTACTGGCACATCCAGTCCACCCCTAAGATTATATCCCATCCCCTTAACTCTATTACCTTCAAGTCAAACTTGAATTGATAGTTTTGGATTAACCATGTCACACTGGGACTGGTGGCTCCATTGGTAATATCAGTTCCATCTGCGAGAGTCACAGTGAAGGGACTGACTGCTGATGTGGTAGGTGCAGAAGATTGACAATCCTGTAGTGAATGAAACTATCAGAACTGCATGTGTCTACTAAAATCTTGATTGGAAACCTCCCTAGGTTCCCTATCAGTAGGATGGATTTCCTCCTTATAGCCCCAGATAATGCATTCAAGGAGACTTCTGCAAGTTCCCCAACCCTTCCTGTTAACTCATCCTGTTCCCCTTCCACGTCCTCAAATTCAGTATCCTCCTCCTCTTCAATGCTCACACAGTTTAGACCCCCTTTCTTACATTGGTACCCCATTCCAAACTTCTCCCCACACCTGTAGCATAGATTGTGCTTACGCCTATACTGCATTTCCTCCGCTGATATCTTACTAAATTCCCTGTGTGCTGCATCAGTCTTCCTGGGGCCAGGAGTGATGCCAGGCAATCTATATGAGCTTTGGCGACCTTGATCATTCGTAGTGTTTCTATACATCCCAAACTTGGGTTCCACTGCCATCCTCCTTGAATTTCTGTTCTGTTTCGACTGGATTTCCAGAGAGCACTCTTGCAACTCAGCAACTTCAAAAGCCTTCATCAAAGTCTGGGGCTTAAACATCTTTACCATAGGTCTAATCTTCTCCTTGAGGCCACTAATAAAACTGGAAACAAAGTAAAGTTCGTCCAGCCTAGGATTTTTCATCAGCATTAAAGTTTTTAGTTCTTCGAACTTCTCCTCATATTTCTCAACCGTTCCCCTCTGCTGTAGCTTGTTAAATTCGTCCATCACGTCACGAGAGTTACTTCCAGAAAATCTTTCACACAGAATTTCACAAAATTCCCCCCAAGACAACCCCTGCCTCACCAGTTTCACTCCTTGAAACCAATTGTCAGCTCTACCCTCCAAGAACATCTCTGCGACCTCTACTTTTTGACTCTTTGCTACCTGATAATTCAAAAAATATTTCTGGCATTTTCGAGTCCACTCCCTAGGGTTTCCAAAGTTAAACATGGGCAGCTCCAACCGGGGCACATTAGGAGTGAATTGCCTACCTCTGTGCTCTTGTTGGTGCCCAAACCCTTCAACTGAGGGTGTTAACCTCAGATGCGATGGGGGAGTCGGCAGGATTGAATCAGACAGTCCTCCATCGACGTCAGGGAGACCTTTCTCCTTCATCAGCAACTTCAACACTGTACTGAGCCTCTGTTCCATTTTGTTGAACCTCTGGTCCAGATTTCCCACTACTGTCTCCAATTTCGCGTTATTCTGCTCCAACTCCGTCTGCAGCTTATGCCGCAACTCCTCAGAACTTGTATTCTGCATCGTAGCCATGGATTCCACCAGTTCTTGCAATCGATTTTCCTGCTTCTTGAGTTGCTCCTCCAGCGTCCTAAATCGAGTGCTCTCTGCCATTTTTGATACCTTCGCGGCCAAGAATCGACCGCTCTGATACCAAATGTCAAGCCTGTAAGTTAATTTTTGGAATTGTATTGGTTCAGGGAAAGAATCTGAAGGAAGAAACTAGATTGAGAAGAGAGAAAAGAGAAAGAAGAAAAAGATAGGGAATTAACAGACAGGAAAGAGAAGGCAGTAAGATTCTTTTCATTTAAAAAAACATAACCAAAAATCTGTTACTGAAGGCTATTTATGTAATTGGCCCTCAACTAACTCTGCCTATCACACCAGCACCGCCCTTGTTATTAGAACGACGTAGTATTGCTCCCAAGGTCCTAAACGCACAACCCTTTGCATTAAACGACGTCCCATTCTATTTCCTTGTTCCTGACACAATATCGAGCTTGAGTCGAGTTCGAACTGGTCGAGTCGAAATCGAGCTCGAACTCGAGTTCAAAATATTAAGCTCGTTAGCTCGCGAGTTCGAGTGTATATATATATATATATATTTTTTTTTATTTTAAGTATATATTTTTTTATTTTTTTATTTTAAGTATATATATTTTTATTTTTTTAATTTTAATAGTAAAATTACATATATATCCTTAATATTTTATTATTTATTAAGAAAAAATATTATTTTATTTATTTTTTAAAAAATAAAATAATTATTTTTTATTTTTTTAGATCTCGAACTCAAATTTGAAATTGTCAACTCGTCGAGCTCGATTTCAATGAAATTATGTCGAGACTCGGTTGGATTAGGCCAAATCTCGACTCGATTCGGCTCGTTTGCAGCCCTAGATATGAGCCCTAGATATGAGTAACAGTTGCAAGTGACTTCCAATTTCTACCAAATTTTTTTTTTCATTTTTAGGTTTTCTTCCAATTTTTTCCCATCAATTAAAAAAAAGGCCCTGAATTGTTTCTTTTCGTGGAGAATTTTTAAAATTTCCAAAATTAAGAAGAAAGTTAATTACATTTTTCACAATTATTTTGCTTTCTCCCCAGTTCTTCTACTTCACCAAAGCATTAGCATATATGAGGGTATAACTTTCATTTTGCAATCTCATCCTACAAACCACTCTATCAAAAATGAAGTTATTTCATACTACTCGTGAACCCCAGCTATTTCTCTCTATTTGAGAATCAATCACATTATTCCAAATTATGTGAGTTGCATTTATTCACCCTTGTTAATCTAGAAAAAAAAAGAGAAAAAAAAAGGGAGAAATATAAAAGCCATAGGCAAGATTAACAAGGATCAGAAACAAAACGAACATCAAAACCCAATACAAAATTGGGCCGAGCTCGTGACACAAAGCCCACTTCAGGAGCTCATGCTCTGGCTACATCTTGAGTTCTCTGGCCCACGTCTCTCGCTTTCTGACCAACTTGGCCGGCAGTGTCCTGCACGCGCCACTTTGCGAGGTCCATTTGCTCCTGGGAAGACGCCTTCATGAGTCGGATGTAGTTCAGCATCCACGACAATGAAGCAAGTGCAGTGATCCCGAAAGCACCGGAGGTCAAGAACCCGGCCAGGGCCAGCCCTAGGGCAAATACAGCTGGGACCAAAATGGGGCTAAAGATAACGAAAAGCGGGGTTGTCACCGCCAGACCGATGACCGTTCCGACGAGAATCAGCCCGGAAAGGCCTAGCAGGACTCCCGCAACTGGGAGGAGCGTGACAACTGCTAACACATGTGAAGTTGATGGACCCTTCTGAGGAAGGAAGCTTTTGACGGCCTCTGTGGGGCGTTGCTGCAGCTGGTAGTGCTCAGCCATGAAGGGCGGTGGACGGTAGCTTATGGGAAAAAAATCGGAGTTTTTTGCTTTTCCCTTTTTGAGGTGCTAAAGATGGTGAAAATGGCGCGGTGGCGGTCGTGGTGAGGTGCTGGATTTAAAGGGAAGGGAGAATGGACACGTAGAGTTAAGGTGGTGACACATGTTTGAGAAAGGGAGAGTAGTTTTGCATGGAAAATTTGGTGTTTGGTAATGATGATGACTTCACAATTTTGTTAGCATCTATTGATGATGCTTTTCTAGTTTATATATTTATTGGATTTAATGGACACTTATGTTCTTTAACTTAACCCATTGGTTTTTTTTTTCAATCATTTGTTACTTTTCTTAATTTAAAGAAACCATTGGCTAATTGAATTTGGATTAATCATGTTGGACTTAAATCATATTTTTCTCTAGTACAAGTTTGGCACCATGGCAGTCCCGTCTATAAGAATATTTTAAAAACCGGACTGTTAATTGAACCGGTGAAGTGAAAGGGTCGAGATTCAACCGGTCGGATCAGTTCAACTTCGGTTCAATAAATTTTTAAAAAATAATTTATATAAATATATATATGCACAAAATAAGACATGTAATAGACTAATTTAATACTTTACATGATGAAAAGTTTACTATTTTTGAATAACTTGGATTTTTAAAAATAAATTTTTTGAATTATAAGTTAAAACAAATAAATTTCATTTCAATTTCAATTATATCTACCAAAAAATCTTAAATCCAACCCAAAAATATCACAATATTTTGAAATTATACAAAATTCACGTCTATGAGAATTTAGACATTGTGAACTTAAATTTTAATTTACGTTTTGGGATTTAGAGATTGCAATTTAAAAAAGAAAGTTTGGAGTTCGAAAGAAGTCAAGAGAATCGAAAATAGAAATGCAAACTTGATAAGAAACAAAAAAAGAGATAAAAGTAAGTGGTTGTGGCATTAAATAATTTGGGTTAAAGAAAAATAATTCTTTTTTAACTTTTTTAATTTAATGGACAAAAATAAAATTAAAAGATGTAAGAAAACATCAATAAATTAAAAATAAAGATGTTTGACTAAAAAAGGAGTGACAAAAGAAAAGAGGATATATAGAGAGAGAGAGAGAGAGAGAGAGAGAGAGAGAGAGAGAAAGAGACTTGAAGATTAAAAAGAAAGAGCCGTGAAAGGATGGGATTTTGTAAGAAAAATGGAAAAAAGAAATATGAGTGTTTGTTTTATATATATAAGTTATTAAAAAAATTAATAAAATGTGATAGTGCAACAATATTACTATATTAGTCTTCTATTACAAAGGTCATGAGTTCGAATCTTGAAAACTACATTTTGCAAAACGAAAAAAAAAAAAAAAAAAAGGAAAACTCGAAAACCGGGAAAAAATGGTTCAATCCGGTTTCGACGGTTTCACGGTTGGACCGATTTTTGACCGATTTTCTAGCATGGTCAACCCTAACATACAACCGGACCAGTGCCATGGCCTGTTTCCGGTGCAACCGGTTGAACCAACCGGTCCGATCCGATTTTCAAAACACTACGGTGAGGGGTAAAAATAATTGTTAGTGCAACTATTTCTAAACAGTGTAAGAATTCTTGAAATAAACTAATTGTGCATTTTTTAGTAAGGATATTATGATCAACTGTTATTCATATAAGTCATTACATGTTAATTGTGCCAAAGTACATGGCATTCTCTATCCTTATAATTTAAACTATTGTTAACGGCACACTCAATATGTGTGTAATTAGGGAATAATTAAAATGAATCAATTTTATATAGATTTTGTTTGTTACGTATAAAAAAATTATATAAAATTCTCATGAAAAAACTTTGGTTTATATGATTATAGTAATTCGGTAGTTGCAATACTTAAGAGTGACTATGAGTAGTTATATATGGCAAAATTTGATTAGGTGATTAGAATAAAAATTAATTTTTATGGGGATAAAATTGAAAGTTCAAAAGATGAAAAAGAGTTTTTTTTAATTGTAAATGAGAGAATTCAAATTCAAAATTTCTCGTTTGCACTCCTTTTCCTCAAACCACTAACCCACCCCTTCCCCAGACAAAATGTATTTACACAAAATATTATTGTTCAAGCATTACATATTGTACTAGTGTGTTTGGACAGAAGATTATTTGTCCAAATTTATTTGCTTATATTATCATTATAATTTTTAATACACATTTTTATTTTCTCAATTACTTTTTATCTCATATACATCACATCACATCACAAAAAGTGCTACAGTAAAAATATTTCAAATAATTTACAATCCAAACACATAACCCGTTCAAACAACTGCGCGGCACACAAAACAATACATGGTGCCATCAAGAGTATCTCTCTGACATTTGGCTAACTGAATTTGGCTTATACTTAATGCCTTATAGTAGGAGTTAGTGTTGAACATAATCATGTTTTTCTCTTGTAAGTTTGGTATTAGGACAATCCAACCTATAACGAGTGAGGAGCAGAAATAGTTGTCAGTATAATTATTTTTGAACGATTTAAGACTTCCTGAATACCTTGTCACTCATTGCAAACTGATTATGCATTTTTTGGATAAGGATTTATAATTAAGTATTATTCATCTAAGTCTGTACATGTTGTTGATTGTGCCAATTTACATGGCATTTTCTTTCCTTACAATTTGAACATTTATCTTGTAGACGAAATTTGAGCCAAGAACGCATTAATTATGTATAGTAGGTTCAAACGGATGAGTGGCACACAAAACTAAGTACGAGCTGCCAGCAAGAGTATCCGTCTGACATTTGGCCAAATTATATTTAGGATTAATTTTTCTTACATTAACAGTAGTGTATATACTATCAATGTTGGATGAATGATAAATATATAAAATTTAAATTTAAAATTAAACTTTTACATATATATCATGAATCTAATGGTGATAATATATATACTTTAACGGCAAGGAACTTTTGCACATATCATGGCAAGGAAGCTGGCTGCATGCTTGGTGTCCTCACGGCGAATTGCTTTGTATTTCACCTTAGATAGGCCACCCAATGGAGCCACATAAGATTGAGGGTGGGCAATTGCACCCTCAAATTTTATAAAAATATATAATGATCTTGAAAATTTTTAAGATTTTTAAGTTTGTGCCATATTTGTATATCCTGAATTTCATGAAATTGTCTCTTTTAGTGGTTTTGTCCCTCTTAAATTTAAGAAAATTCTTTTCTGTATGTAGATTAT